TATATTTAGGATAGTTAGCTCTTCCTGTTGAATTGATCCCTTTACCATTATGTAATGGCCTTCTTTGTCTCTTTTGATCTTTGATGGTTTAAAGTCTGTTTTATGAGAGACTAGTATTGCAACCCCTGCTTTTTTTTGTTCTCCATTTGCTTGGTAAATCTTCCTCCATCCCTTTATTTTGAGCATATGTATGTCTCTGCGTGTGAGATGGGTCTCCTGAATACAGCAGACTGATGGGTCTTGACTCTTTATCCAGTTTGCCAGTCTGTGTCTTTTAATTGTAGCATTTAGTCCATTTACATTTAAGGTTAAGATTGTTATGTGTGAACTTGATCCTGCCATTATGATATTAACCGGTTATTTTGCTCTTTAGTTGATGCAGTTTCTTCCTAGCCTCGATGGTCTTTACATTTTGGCATGTTTTTGCAATGGCTGGTACCGGTTGTTCCTTTCCATGTTTAGTGCTTCCTTCAGGGTCTCTTGTAAGGCAAGCCTGGTGGTGACAAAATCTCTAAGCATTTGCTTATCTGTAAAGGATTTTATTTCTCCTTCACTTATGAAACTTAGTTTGGCTGGATATGAAATTCTGGCTTGAAAATTCTTTTCTTTAAGAATGTTGAATATTGGCCCCCACTCTCTTCTGGCTTGGAGAGTTTCTGCCGAGAGATCTGCTGTTAGTCTGATGGGCTTCCCTTTGTGGGTAACCCGACCTTTCTCTCTGGCTGCCCTTAAGATTTTTTCCTTCATTTCAACTTTGGTGAATCTGGCAATTATGTGTCTTGGAGTTGCTCTTCTCGAGGAGTATCTTTGTGGCGTTCTCTGTATTTCCTGGATTTTAATGTTGGCCTGCCCTACTAGGTTGGGGAAGTTCTCCTGGATGATATCCTGAAGAGTGTTTTCCAACTTGGTTCCATTTTCCCCCTCACTTTCAGGCACCCCAATCAGACGTAGATTTGGTCTTTTTACATCATCCCATACTTCTTGCAGGCTTTGTTCATTTCTTTTTCTTCTTTTTTCTTTTGGTTTCTCTTCTCACTTCATTTCATTCATTTGATCCTCAATCACTCATACTCTTTCTTCCAGTTCATCGAGTCCGTTACTGAAGCTTGTGCATTTGTCACGTATTTCTCATGTCATGGTTTTCATCTCTTTCATTTCGTTTATGACTTTCTCTGCATTAATTACTCTAGCCATCAATTCTTCCACTTTTTTCCCCAAGATTTTTAGTTTCTTTGCGCTGGGTACGTAATTCCTCCTTTAGCTCTGAGAAATTTGATGGACTGAAGCCTTCTTCTCTCATCTCGTCAAAATCATTCTCCGTCCAGCTTTGATCCGTTGCTGGTGATGAGCTGCGCTCCTTTGACGGAGGAGATGCGCTCTTATTTTTTGAATTTCCAGCTTTTCTGCCCTGCTTTTTCCCCATCTTTGTGGTTTTATCTGCCTCTGGTCTTTGATGGTGGTGACGTACTGATGGGGTTTTGGTGTAGGTGTCCTTCCTGTTTGATAGTTTTCCTTCTAACAGTCAGGACCCTCAGCTGTAGGTCTGTTGGAGGTTGCTTGAGGTCCACTCCAGACCCTGTTTGCCTGGGTATCAGCAGCTAGAAGATAGAATATTGCTTAACAGCGAGTGTACCTGTCTGATTCTTGCATTGGAAGCTTCCTCTCAGGGGTGTACTCCACCCTGTGAGGTGTGGGGTGTCAGACTGCTCCTAGTGGGGGATGTCTCCCAGTTAGGCTACTCAGCGGTCAGGGACCCACTTGAGCAGGCAGTCTGTCCCTTCTCAGATCTCAACCTCCGTGTTGGGAGATCCACTGCTCTCTTCAAAGCTGTCAGAGTAGTTTGCGTCTGCAGAGGTTTCTGCTGCTTTTGTTATTGTTTACTGTGCCCTGTCCCCAGAGGTGGTGTCTACAGAGACAGGCAGGTTTCCTTGAGCTGCTGTGAGCTCCACCCAGTTCGAGCTTCCCAGCAGCTTTGTTTACCTACTTAAGCCTCAGCAATGGTGGGCGCCCCTCCCACAGCCTCGCTGCTGCCTTGCCGGTAGATCACAGACTGCTGTGCTAGCAATGAGGGAGGCTCCGTGCACGTGGGACCCTCCCAGCCAGGTGTGGGATATAATCTCCTGGTGTGCCTGTTTGCTTAAAGCGCAGTATTGGGGTGGGAGTTTCCCGATTTTCCAGGTGTTGTGTGTCTCAGTTCCCCTGGCTAGGAAAAGGGATTCCCTTCCTCCTTGCGCTTCCCAGGTGAGGCGATGCCTCGCCCTGCTTCAGCTCTGGCTGGTCGGGCTGCAGCAGCTGACCAGCACCAATATTCCGGCCCTCCCCAGTGAGATGAACCAAGTACCTCAGTTGAAAATGCAGAAATCACTGGTCTTCTGTGTCGCTGGCGCTGGGAGTTGGAGACTGGAGCTGTTCCTATTCGGGCATCTTGCTCCGCCCCCCCTATTTTATTTTAAAAAGCCAATCTTCAAGCTTCAATATTCTTTTCTGAGCTTGGGTATTCTGCTGCTAATGCTTGTGATTTCATCATGAAATTTTTGTAGTGTGTTTTTCTGCTCTATCAGGTTCATTGTGTTTTTTTTTCTCTATTGACTATTTTGTCTTTCAGCTCCCGTATGTTTTTATTGTGAATTCTACCTTCGTTAGATTGGGTTTTAATAATTTCTGGGATATCAATGATCTTTCTTTCTATCTATGTTCTGAATTTTTTTTATCTCATTTCAGCCATCTCAGCCTGGTTAAGAATGCTTGCTTGAGAATTAGTGTGGTTGTTTGGAGGAAAGAAAACACTGGTTTTTTTGAATTGTCAGAGTTGTTGCTATTTTGTTGGTCTATTGTTTCTTCAATATTTAACGTTGTTTTTTGGATGAGTTTTTTTTTTTTCTTTTATTCTACTTGATGACCTTGGGTGATTTGATTTTGGTATAAGGTGGGTTCAGTTGACTGGCTTCATTTCTGGAATATTTAAGGTGGCCAAGACTCAGCTAAGTACTCCTGGATTGCATGCTCTGACTCTGGGGGACTGGTATCAGGTCTCCACTTTCTTCTCTGACTTTTCAAGGTAGGAACTTTCCGGGAGGGCTGAGGTGCTCCTGGACCACTATAAGGGGCAAGGTGCTGCCAGATCACTGGTCACAATACTTCAATGGATAGTACCAGCCAAAGCACTTCATAGGGCTGTGGCAGCAGTATCTGCCCTTATTCTTTTTTTTTTTTTTTTTTTGAGATGGAGTGTCGCTCAGTCACCCAGGCTGGAGTGCAGTGGTACGATCTCGGCTCACTGCAAGCTCCGTCTCCCAGGTTCACGCCATTCTCCTGCCTCAGCCTCCCGAGTAGCTGGGACTACAGGCGCCCGCTGCCACGCCCGGCTAATTTTTTTTCTTTTTTTTTTTTTTTTTTTTTGCATTTTTAGTAGAGACAGGGTTTCACCGTGTTAGCCAGGATGGTCTCGATCTCCTGACCTCATGATCCGCCCACTTCGGCCTCCTAAAGTGCTGGGATTACAGGCTTGAGCCACCATGCCCGGCCTTATCTGCCCTTATTCTTATGTGCCAGTTGCAACTCCCACTGCAGTATGTATGGGTTTATGCTCGTCAGCTGCAGCACGGTGCTAGCAGGTGCCAGGGTGCTGACCTTTGTGAGAGCATTCACAGCAATTGCCAGTATTGACAGCATTTCCTTTTGTGGGCCAGTGGCTGGCCGTCATGCAGGTGTTTGCATTGACAGCAGACTAGGGGGCATAGGGCTTCCCGGCAGCAACTGTGCATACCTTCACACTGGTGGCAGTGTTATCATGGGGTTAGGGTGCTCTGGTTGGCACAGGTCTGTGTGGGCCTTTTATGCATGTTCCTGCAGGTGGCGGTGGCTACTCAGGGTGCGGGCGGGTCCATTTTTTCTATGCCTAGTTTCTGCTGGCAGCTGTTCCAGCACAGAAAGGGGATACTGGTGGGGGCAGTGCTGGCATGCCTTCTGCTTGCCAATGATCTGACAACAATGGTGGTGCAGTGGGGGGAAGAGGTAGAGTGCTGTGCACTCATGCCAGGAGTAGTGGCATGGCAGGGTGCACACAATTATGTGTACTGGTAGAGAAGGGAAGACAAGATTTCGCCCCCCTCCCCACACACACGAGTACCAGTAAAGCAATGTTGGAGGTCGTCATGGGTGAGTGCATGTAGGCAAAGTGGCACAGGGGAGGCTGCTGTAGTGGGAGGATATGGGCTAGCTGGGCTTGTCTTCTGGGGCAGCTCTGTTCCAGGACTTTGCAGGTCAGATGCTGTCCACCAGCACAGGAACTGTGATGCAGGACCCCAGGAGGTACTTAGGGGCTGCACTGCAAGCAGGCATGGCTAGACTGGGGCCCTGGGAGAAGCTAGCAGAATGAGGGGTGCTCAGATTGGACTGGCCCTGTCTCATGGACAAAATCACCCTGCAGAGTTCAGGTCTGACAGTTCCCGTAGGGCTTAAGTCTCCTGTGGGAGGCAGTCGAGCCTAGGGGCATGGGCAACCCTTGTTGTGCTCCTCCAGATGTTCTGGCATCAAGTCTTCCAGCTCTGCTCCAGCTTGAATTCTGCCCCTACCACTTCTCTGAGCACCTCTCCCTGCTAATCCAAGTGTCCGTGGTGGTCAAGGGTATTTTTCCTGCTATGATTCTAGAGGCCCATGTTGAAAGTTGGTTGCTCCTTGACTGTTCAACTCACTTTTCCCCCAGGTGTTTCTGGGAGCCAGGAGCAAGTCCCAGTGAACAGTAGCCCTGTGCAGGGTTCCCATCTTCCTCCCCATTCAGCCCAGCATCTTTGTCTTCCCTCCATCCACCCTCAATGCCTTCTCTCTGAAGATCTGCTAGGATTGTGTCTTCCCAATGCCCCAACCAGTCTTCCCAATGCCCCAACCCTTTGTGGGAGATGTTCCTTCTGGCTACATCTAGTTGGCCATCTTGCCCCCCAGGAGAAAACAATTATTTTTATTTAATAACTTTTAAACATTACTTTCTGTGGTTCTTTTAGGAATGCCCAATTCTTCTGGACTCATGAACCGCCGTGATGCCATTTCCAAAACAGATGCCACCGTGGTGGCATTACTGAAGGAAGCTGGTGCCATTCCCCTTGGCATAACCAACTGTAGTGAATTGTGTATGTGGTATGAATCCAGTAACAAGATATATGGCCGATCAAACAACCCATATGATTTACAGCATATTGTAGGTGGAAGTTCTGGTGAGTTGGACATTTTAGTAGGGCATCAAGAGCTGTGTTAACAATAATAATTATGAATTGTATTAATAAACCTGATACAGTATAGCATCTCTAACCTATAAGAATGGATGCAAAAACCCAGGGTATGTGTGTGTTGATGGAGAAGAAATGGGAGTCATGTGAGAGCCTTGGTTAACTCTGATATTTTGAAAATAGATAGAGGAGAAGTAGCCAGCAAAGGGAATTGAGAACGAACTACAAGTGATGTAGACAGGAAACATCATAAAGTGTATAGAGACTAGAAAAAAAAGGTGTATGGAGACTAGAATTGACAAGACTTTTATTAAGCCTGAATGGATGCATACGTGGGTTAGCAAAATATGATGTTTAAACTTGTGGGTGCTAAAGCTACATAGACATTTGAGACTTCTTTTACTATATGACCTTAGTCACATGAAGTAGGTGCTCATTAAGTCAGTTTCCTTTGCTTGTAAGATGGCCATATTAAAGAAATCAGACTTGTAAGGTTACTGTGATGATTAAAAATTTAAGTGTGACTTCAGGTTTCCGGTCTAGCATATATGGGGTTTAGAAGTTTTTACTCCAATTCACACAATAAGAACAAAAGCTGAACAAACTAAAAATTAACAACCATTATTAGATTTATCAATATGCCGAGGTAATGGGAAAACCACTCTTCCCAAAACTGAATGAAAGACAGGCAGATACAAAGAATCGGAACTTGCTAGAACAGAAGCCTAGGAGCAGAACATTTCAGGGGAACCAGCACAGCAGTAGAAAAACCTAAACTATAATTGATCACTTGCTGGAGGTTCATTTTGAAAAAGTTTAGGAGTCAAAATGTATGTGGTGGTTGGGTGGGGGGATCTTGGGGGCCTCACACAATTTCAAAAGTTTTACCTTCAGGAGCCCTACTGTGTTCCCAGGTGAAGATCGGAGAGAAATCTTCTCTTGCTTCTTGCACAGGGAGGGAAAAAGTAGCCATTTTGAAATACTACTTCCAAAGCCTACTGTTCTTCTAACAAGGAATTTCCTCAGAGAAACTATTTTTATCAGAACCTAACTTAGTAATGTTTTATAAGAAACTAATGGACTTGACCTCGGGGAAAGAAAATATCCAACTCCAGTCCTGTCTAGGTTTCCTGTCCTACTGAATGGGTCAAAGCAGAATAAAATTGGGAAGCAAATGTTAGGGTCACAGAGCAGGGGCACATGCTAACTAAATGACTGAGACCTAATCATATGATTATAAAATACTTCCTCTCCTTGCCTCCACACACCTTATCACTACACCAATAGGGATTTTCTATAATGGGGGTTCTATATAAACTAGAAGAACTGTACATCATAGGTGTTATTTAAGAAGTCTCTAGGGAAACTCAAAGACAACAGAGGAGGTGGAAACAATGGCACCAGTTGAAAATTTTACACCTGAAACCTATGGCTACAGCAGACAGTAAACACAGACTAACCCCTAGCCAGGGAAACATAAAACCTCACATTAAAGGCCAAATACCCCCAGTTCTTTTATCTCAGTACATCATGTTTGGCTTTCAACAAAACGATTATAAGGCATACTAAAAGACAAAATCACAGTTTGAAAAGACAAAGCAAGCATCAAGATTAGCAATATGGCAGAGATATTGAGATTATCAGACTGAGAATTGAAACCTTTGTGATTAATATGTTAAGGGCCATAATGGAAAAAAATGGTCAACATGCAAGCACAGATCTGTAATGTAAGAAGACAGATGAGAACTTCAAGAATCAAAAGCAAACACTAGAAATAAAAGAGTTATAACAGAAATGAAGAACATCTTTGATGGGCTCATCAGTATGTTGTATACGAAATAGGAAACCTTCAGTGATATGGAAGATCTGTCAACAAGAACTTCCAAAACTGAAAGTAAAGAGGAAAAAGAATGAAAAAGACAGAACAGACTATCTAATAATTGTATGATTACAAATGCATATAATACACATATATAATTGGAACACTAGGAAGAGAACAAAGAGATTTTAAGAAACAACAATAAATGTTTGAGAAGAACTACACCTAGCATACTGTTTCATCCTTAGAAGATTAAAGAGAAAGAAAAAAAACATTTAAAGAAGAAGGAAAAACATATCTTATCTATACAGGAGCAAAGATAGAATTATATTGGTATTTTCTTCAGAAACCATGCAAACTATAAGAGATGGGCATCCTCTTTGGGAGGCCAAGGCAGGTGGATCACTTGAGGTTAGGAGCTCGATACCAGCTTGGCCAACATGTTGAATCCCCATCTCTACTAAAAATACAAAAATTAGCCAGGCCTGGCAGCAGGCGCCTGTAATACCAGCTACTCGGGAGGCTGGGGCAGGAGAATTGCTTGAACTCGAGAGGTGGAGGTTGCAGTGAGCTGAGATCATGCCACTGCACTCCAGCCTGGGTGACAGAAGGAGATTCCATCACACACACACACACACACACACACACACACACACACACACACACGGGAGTCAAATATTTAAACCATTGAAAGAACCATCAACTTAAAATTCTGTCTAGCAGATCTATTCTTCAGAAATGAAAAAGAAATAACGATGCTCTGAGACAAAGAAATATTGACAGAATTTGTTGCCAGTGGAGCAATAGAGCAAGAATGTTAAAAGATGTTCTTCAGAGAGAGAGAGAAAAAAGAATACAGGCCAAAAACCTGAATTCATGTAAAAAAAAAAAAAAAAAAAAGAAAAGAAAATTATTAGAGAAAGATTGAACAAAAGTAAAATAAAGTATTTTTAAATTATTGATTGATCTAACATGTAATTGTTCAAAATAATAATGCCAAAAATGTATTGGGTGATTATAGCTTGTGTATGAGTGAAATGAATGACAATGTTATATGGGATGGGATAAAGGAATTGGGAATGTTCCTTTATAAGATTACTGCACTACTTGGGAGGTGGCAGAGTATCATTTGAAGGAGACTTGAGTTAGTTCTAAATGTATATTGCAAACTCAAGGGCAAATATTAAACCAAAAAAAAGTATACTTTAAGTGGCAAGAGAGGAGAATAAATGGAAACGTACAATATAGTCAGTTAAAATCAGAGACTTAGCCTCCCACACAGTAATAGTGGGAGAACTTAACACCCCACTGAAAATATTAGATAGACATTGAGACAGAAAATTAACAAAGATAATCAACACCTGAACTTAGCTCTGGATCAAGTGGACCTGATAGATATCTACAGAACTCTCCACCCCCAAACAATGGAAAACATATTTTTTTTTCATCATCACATAGCACTTACTCTAAAATTTATCACATAATTTGAAGTAAAACATTCCTCATTAAATGCAAAAGAACTTAAATCATAACAATTTCTCAGATTACAGCACAATCAAATTAGAACTCAAGATTAAGAAAGTGACCTCAAACCAAACCACACAACTACGTGGAAATCGAGCAAACTGCTCCGGAGTGACTTCTGGGTAAATAATGAAATTAACAAAGAAATCAAGAAGTTCTTTGAAACTAATGAGAACAAAGACATAATATATCCAAATCTGGGCCACAGCTAAAGCACTGTTGAGAGAGAAATTTATAGCACTAAATCCCCACATCAAAAACCTAGAAAGGTCTAAAACTGACAACCTAACATCACAACTAAAAGAAGTAGAGAAGCAAGAGCAAACAAATCCCAAAGCTAGGAGAAGACAAGAAATAACCAAGATTAGAGCAGAACTGAAGGAGATAGAGACACAAAAAATCCTTCAAAAATCCATGAATTCAGGAGCTGTTCTATTGAAAAAATAAATAAATAAATAAAATAGACCACTAGCTAGACAAATAAGGAAGAAAAGAGAGAAGAATTAAATAGACAAAATCAGAATGATATTACCACTGACCCAACAGAAATAAAAACAATCATCAGAGATTACTATATACACCTGTATGGACAAAACTAGAAAATTTAGAAGAAATGGAAAAAAATTCCTGGATGCATACTCCTTCCCAAGACTGAACCAAGAAAAAATTGAATCTCTAAATAGAACGATAATGAGTTCTAAAATTGAAGCAGTAATAAATAGCCTACCAACTGAAGAAAAAAAAAGGCCCAACCAGATGGATTTACAGCTGAATTCTACCACAGGTAGAAAGAGGAGCTTGTACCATTTCTGCTGAAATTATTCCAAAAAATTGAAAAGCAGGGTTTTTTTTTTTTTTTTGTAACTCATTCTATAAGGCCAGAATCATCCTGATAAGAAAACCTAGAGACATACATAGGCTCAAAATAAAGGGATGCAGGAAGATCTACCAAGCAAATGGAGAACAAAAAAAAGCAGGGGTTGCAATACTAGTCTCTGATAAAACAGACTTTAAACTATCAAAGATCAAAAGAGACAAAGAAGGCCATTACATAATGGTAAAGGGATCAATTCAACAGGAAGAGCTAACTATCCTAAATATATATGCACCAAATACAGGAGCACCCAGATTCATAAAGCAAGTCCTAGAGACTTAAAAAGAGACTTAGACTCCCATACAATTATAATGGGAGACTTTAACACCCCACTGTCAACATTAGACAGATCAACGAGACAGAAAGTTAACAAGGATATCCAGGAATTGAACTCATCTCTGCAGCAAGCAGACCTAATAGACATCTACAGAACTCTCCACCCCAAATCAACAGAATATACATTCTTCTCAGCACCACATCACACTTATTCCAAAATTGATCACATAATTGGAAGTAAAGCACTCCTCATCAAATGTACAAGAACAGAAATTATAACAAACTGTCTCTCAGACCACAGTGCCATCAAACTAGAACTCAGGACTAAGAAACTCAATGAAAACCGCTCAACTACATGGAAACTGAACAACCTGCTCCTGAATGACTACTGGGTACATAACGAAATGAAGGCAGAAATAAAGATGTTCTTTGAAACCAATGAGAACAAAGATACAACATACGAGAATCTCTGGGACACATTTAAAGCAGTGTGTA